GCCAGCTTTGCTCGAGCCTTTTGGCGTACGTGACATAGCCGCAGCGCCGCTGCATTGTTCTCGCGAGTGACGTCGAATTCTCATAAGCATTATCATGCTGCTCGTGCTGCTAATTCTGCCCGCGCCCTCACGAAAAAAGGTTTCATCCGCCCACGGCCAGGGTCTAAGGAGTCTTGTGCTACAGTCTCCAAAAGGATGGCGCCTTTGACCAAGCATGTCATGAATTCAATGCGTGTTCATTCTAAGCACGATGTTGCTGGTGGTGTTCCGCATCATTTCGCTCGCCAATCTGCTGTTGCCCGCTGCGACCTTACTGCGCTCCGAGTTCATCGCGTTGCCAACAAGGCCAAGCATCATAACGGCAAGCTGATCTCCGTGCTGCTGCCAATGCTGCCACGAAGTACGCGTACGCTCAGCTGCGGATCACAGAGCACGAGAATGAGAGAAACGACCACGTAATATATTCCGAACGCGCAAGCTACTAATATAATTATCGTGCACGTGCTCAGCTTACTGTCGCTCCATTTGTACACTGCACACATGCGGGGCTGATGCACCTTGAGTCGCTCAAGACGGGGGGGGAGAAGCAGGAAGCAACGCAAACACGCCGCCGGTCTTCCGTCAATGGGGGGTCGCACATCCTCACTATCACGACACGTCTGAGAAAGGAAAGAAACGACGTGAGCACCAGCTGATGAAGGTTCGACCAGTACTTTCGTTCGATGTTGGACCGCATCGAACGCTTTTTTTTCAAACAGGTCAGGCGCGGATGTTTATGCTGCACAGTTTGGACAGCACGGTAAAGGAGTGAACGAGGAGCGTCTAAGCAATGCAATTCGAGAAGCAAGTTCGCTAGCTCATGCATTGGGTCACCACCAAGGCATCGACCCAACGTCTGGCAAATATGGCTTTCGACAGCCCCTAACCTCAAACCGGTCGAGCAATTGCTATGCCACATGAGAGAAGCGTTGCCTTGCAAGCCCCGTGCGCTGCTGTGCCATCACGTCGCCGTTGCACGAGTGGGGAGACGACGCGACATCGCGGCCGGGAACGTCGACCCTCAAGCCCACGAACAGAGCAGGGCCTTTCGATTTCAAAAGTAATTTCAAATGCGCCTTCTCTTCTTTGTTATGCGTGTGTGCACGGCGCCGGTGCACAAGAGAGATAAGTCTGGATCAACCTGCCCGACAGAGCATGGATTTCGAGCGATCGGCTTTCAGGGCCATCACTTTGATGGGTGATTCCGCGCCTCTTCTTAGGAGGAACACTTTGCATCGCATCAACGTCGTAGCCCTCAGACCGCACCCGAAAGCAATGGAAATTCCATAAGTGCCATCCACCCAACGCATGGGGAGCTGAGACATGGCGCAGGCGTGATGGCAGCTGCAGGCTCGGAGGCCGGCGGGTCTTGCCAAACTCAAGAGGGCAGCTGACAGCGTTGCAGACAGTTTCTTTGGGTGACGAATCAAAGACGTTCCATGGGCCCCAGCGCCGGCCCTCAGGGTGGGCATCGGCCGGCATCCAGCAGAGTGCGATTGCGACGACGTTTCCGGAGCGGGTGCCGCTCCTCTCAATGTAAAACAAGAAGAGGCCAGACTGACCAGTTTGAGCCAGCCAGAGCTCCAGGAACCAAGGCATTTTTCGTCGAGCTTGAATGGCGCCTGTGAAAAAGACGTTCCATGATGCTTCCGGTGGCGATCGCCTTCGGCGTGTCGGGCGTGAGGTTGGCAGACAGCTGCGTGCTCGTCTTCGTAGACCACGATGTTGCCCGGGCCGCCGTGGTCAAGGGCAGCAGGATGTCGATGCCGTCTGCGAGGTCGGTGCGCCAGGCCTGGGTTGCCGCCGCCCGTCACGGCGTGTCGCCGCGGTTCGAGCAGGTGCCGAGCCCGAGCCACGTCGCACACGCGCCGTCACGCTCGGACCAGCCCTGCCTGGAGGGGCTCGGGGTCATCGACGACAGTGCGCAGGTTGTCGCCGAACGCTCGGACGTCGAAGCTGCCCACACCACGAAGGGAGCTGATGGCAGCGGTCTGGGAGGTGCGCGGGAGATGGGAGCCACCCCGCGTAGTGCAGAGGAGGCGGATGTATGCTGGTGTAGTGCAGGGGATGCGGATGCATGTCGGTGAGAGTCGTTACCTGCAGAGAGCAGGACGGGGATGCCATGCATCATGCAATGATCGGGCAATCACCGCCGCCATTTGCTGGTCAAGGGTGGGCGTCAGGGTGTTAGCCGAGAGGTTCGGCTAGCCGTGAGTAGGACGTTTCCCGCCCACCCACCACGTCGACGTTTGTCCTAGAGCGGATAATATATTGGATGAGAGCGGGGGATGCGAGGCACCCCACGAAATGCTGAGGAGGCGGATCTATACCGGTGTAGTGCAGAAGATGCACAGGCATGTCAGCGAGAGCCGCCACCAGCACAAAGAAGGACGGGGATAGTTGGTGTCCTTCCAAAAAGGTGAAGGACGAGGAGGATCAGGAGGAGGAGGAGGAGGAGGAGGAGGAAGAGGATGAGGAGGAGGAGGAGGAGGAGGAGGAGGCGCAGGAGGAGGAGGAGGGCGGAGGAGGAAGAAGAGGACAGAGGAGAAGAAGGTTCTTGGAGGTTTCTGGTGGCCAGGGTATTTCCAGACACTTTGTGGGCTAGAGGCGGATGATGTGCACTCGGCGCGTCACGAAATATGTCTGGATATAGTTTCAGCTTTTCGCACCGTCTTCAGTACAGCTAGACTTAGGCCACTGCCTGATAGGGATGACTTGAGCCGCGGCTGTCAATACATATCATCGGGTTTGTTTCTTCGGTTGCGTCGGGCCTGATGCGTTGCAAGTCGGGATGATCGTACGGTGCTGTTGGCCTTCAGTTCATCAAACAATGCCAGCCAGTCGCGACATCGCAGTGTTCGTCTGCCGCAGTCCCCTCCTGGCACGCTGACCCGAGGTAGATGACCCCAACGAGTTCCTGATGCGCGGGAAGACCGGAACGAGGCAATTCGGAGGGCTGGTGCCATCGCGGTACCCGACGTCCACGGCCAAAGGTGTGTTTTGTTTGGTAGACGATCCGTCATTCTGTCCCTCCCGTCACTCGTCCCTCCTCCTGCCTTCGCCCTCTACCCTCCTTTTTTCCCCACCTCCCTCTGCTCCATCCTGTCCCGCTTCCCTCCTCTCTCTCTCTCTCATTCCTCGTTCCTTCCTCTTCCCCTCGTGCCTCCTCCTCTCTCCAATTGCTGTCTTGGTCCAGCGCGCAGTACACTCCAGCTCTTCTATCTGACAGCAAAGTATCGGGTTCGTCACCCGACTCCCTGCAGAGGCATTTTGAGAATTGCGTTATGCGGGTTAGCTAATCAGCTAATCCCCCCCGGTCCTATGTTAATTATTGTTTGAGGCTAAACGAAGCCTGTCGGGCAGAATCATTACTTTAATCGCCACTTCCCCACGGTTCCCCCTGGCGTGCTGAGGCAAAACAGACAGGGGAGGCGCCGTTGCGCGCGCGGTGCTTCGTTTAATCTTGCCAGCGCGCAGCGGAAAGAGGGTTCGTTGCGCGCTGCCTTAGGCGCGCGCGCCCCCCTCGCGCGCAGCCCCCAACCCATTCAGACCCTCCCCAGCCCGCCCATCCGGGTCCAGGTGCAATCCGAATGGTAACATTTCCGTCGGTCGAGTTTTTTTGGCACGTCATTAGTTATGGGCGCAACCAGGCCGCATAAATGATTCGTTGGTCGTCCCATCGAAATATCTTCTTAACCACCTGCTAGTTACATTGCTCAGAACGATAGCCTGTCCTTCACCCGCGTGTTTTCTGATGCGGCGGTTCTTCTCCATCTTCTTGGGTTTTGGTTCCTCTGGCATCATTCATGCGGCTCGTTGTAGCTTCTCGTTCCTTGCTCGGGCGCTGGGCTGGCTTGGGTACATTTTTGGGCTCCAAACTAGGGGGCGCCCATTCGTACCCCAGCCAACGCGGCTAGGATCCGCTGCCCTCATAGACCAAGAGCCAGATTTCGAGTTCTCAGGAATTCAAGGCAATTTGATGCCGTTCAGTTTTGCGCACGTGCCCCGTGTGTGTGTGTGTGTGTGTTCCACGTCGTCTTCATTCCGTTGAGCAGGGCGAGGCCACCTGATTGTATTCCTTGTGCAACCTCTGGTGGTTGGGCAGAGCTTTTGAGATTTGTTGATTGTTGGTCCAGTTGAGTGCTTGCATGGTGGTGGAAGAGTGTCGTTTGGACGGCGCCGAGGGTATGGATTGATTCGAGCCGTGGGAAGACCCTCTGAGCGGACTACGTAGACCACTTCTGAATACTCCTCTTACGACCTGAAAGCGTATTTTCGGCCATTGCATCTTGCGGTTCGTTGCTAGGTGCTTGGCGCCAGCTTTTAATTGTTTTCGCAACGCGTTGGTACGAGCCATATCAGGATAAGCTGTAACTGGCACGCTGATGGCAAGATGCTGCAGCTACCACTTGTGATGTGACGCTGTGGGCACAAAGCCCTGCGGAAGGCACCGACGTCTCAGCCTGAACCAACGCCGTCCCACCGCCCCTGGTCTGCGCCCCCACCGCCCAGCCGAGCCTCCACTGCCTTCGTTGATCAACCATCGCAGAAGCATCCACGGCTCCTTTTCTAAAGTCGATGCCGCATCAACAAAGCGCCTGACGCCGTCAACTTGCCAAACCCTGGGGGGGCTTCGATGCAGATCTGCGCGTGCATTTGCTCCACATGTGCCTGCTGCCCCGTGAGACTCCGCCCGCCGAGTGGGACGAGTGGACAAAGGTCACCACCTACCAAACCACCCCAACCCAACCCGAAGGCGTCAATTTGCCGTCCATTTCCAGTGGGGGGGGGGTCGGGGAACATCGAAACAACACACACATGGAGCCCATACCCCCCCAATCCGAAATTCGGGTCTTCGGGTTGGGTTGGGGTGGTCTGGTAGGTAGTCAAAGGGGCTTTGCGACTGGGCTCCCCTCGGTCAGGCTGTCGCTGTCGCTGTCGCCCTCGATCGTGGGCTCCAGACGTCGTACTTGATGCGACTACTCTCCGCTACGACACCGAAGCCGTTCGCGTCCGCACGTCTCTGCGACCCTACGAGAGGAAGTGCGGGAGGTGCTGAAGGGGTGAGCGGCAGCCACGGCCGCCTCTCAGCGGTGGACAGCGTCCTGGCTTCGCGTGCCGAACTCGCGATCACACCACCCCAGCCAGCCCTGAAAGTTCTTCCTGCTCCTGCTTCTTCTCCTTCTCCCCCTCTGCTACCTTCCCCTGCGTCGCCCTCAATAGTCCATTGCCAGGCCTGGCACTCTGGGATGAAGCAAGGCATCTCTAGAAGAGATTGGGTTCAAATGCTGTGTTAGCTCGATCCGGGGACCAGGCGACACAGAACGTCACGGTTTTGATTCCAGCGGCAGATTTGAAGCTTCAGCGTGAGGCAGGCGGCTAGCTGATTCCGGCCGCGCAGCCCGCAGTCTTTCCTCGCGTGCTGAGTCCCGGGCGCGACGCGCCACTGCCCGTCCGCACCCGTGCTGCTTACCACCGTCAAACTCTTGTCGGGTCAGGGAGTGGAGGCAGCGGAGGGTCCAGCGTCCAACGCGTATGGCATGGGACGTGGGATTGATAAAGCTGCAGCGCGCCTCCCGTGTCTCACCACCCTCCTGTTTTGTTGCTGTTCAATGTTAGCTCGCGGTGGGCTGGGCGCCCCTGGCTCAAGCGTTTTCGAGGCTTTGCTGAAAGCCAGGTGACTTGGGCCATCGGCTTCTAATTCTGTCTTCAGTTTGGGCGTTCAAGGGCACTGCATCCTTGTCGCGCGTCCTTTGGACTCCGTCGCGCTGTAGTGCTTCAACACATGCATATTGGCTTGTTGTCCGATGCCTTGGCTATTGTACCTTGCCCCTTGCCAAAATTGAGAGGCTTGTGAAAGCATTTGTCAAGATGAGCAGCAGACTATCAGGTGGTGGTGCACTCCCCCCAGAACGTATGCCTGAGGTATCCCTGCTCATGTTGTGTAAGAGGCCCGGCGGCGTTTGCGATATCCAGCCACAGTCTCGGGGGACTCTTTGGATTCTTTGGGTTCCCCAGGCGCCTTAGCTTTATAGGGAAGGTGGGGTTCATTGGTCCCCTTTTGTTCCAAAACGGCCATTCCACTCAGGGTCTCTTTCTTCTGTCGCTGAGGAGTTGGACTGGTCCGTTTCGCCGCGTCGCCGCCTGTGGCCACCTCGTTGGGCCCCACTGTAGGGGCCCGCCGGGATTTCACCGCCTCGCCGCCCGTGGGCAGCTCGCGGCCGCCTCCCTCCGCCACTCACTCAGGGGGTCCGCCGAGGTTTCGCCGCCTCGCCGCCTCGTGGCCGCAGCGTTGAGCGCCCGCTTGGGGATCCGCCGATGGGGCCGCCGCGGCCCCGCCCGTGGCCGCCTCGCTGCCGCCCGCTCGGGGTGTCCGCCGAGGCTTTGCGGACGCGTCGATTCTCGCGACATCCTCGCGGCACCTCTGGGGGTGTCCGCCCCATAGTCTGCACCACAGCTCACGCGACCTGACTATCACCACCTACCGAACCACCCCAACCCAACCCGAAGGCCTCGATTTGCCCTCCATTTCCAGTTGGGGGGGGGTCGGGGAACATCGAGAAAACACATATGGAACCCGTACCCCCCCCAACCCGAAATCGGGATCTTCGGGTTGGGTTGGGGTGGTCTGGTAGGTAGTCAGACTAGCATCACCGAGCTCATCACATCGCTTCAGCGACCCATGGTATACCACGTAGGCTACGCCGCATAGCTCTCACCGCATGGCTCACACCAAACAGCCTACACGCAATGGCGCACACCTCATAGCTTACACCGCGCATCCCATAATTCACCTCACATTGATTACCAACACGTCGTTCGCAGTACATACCCTACACACCATAGCTCTCACAGCACAGCTTACATCACATAGACCACACCGCGTCGCTTGCACCACATAGCTTTCACTCACAGTTGAATGACTGTATGTTATCTGTGTCGTGGTCCTAATGGCTAACATGCTGTACAATGCTATGGTATTATATGGCATGATGCCCTATGCTATGCAACAATGTGAATGATACAGTGACTGCCAGGCGTATGTGTCACGGCATGGCACGCTAATATATGGTATGCTTTCGCTCGGTTGCGCTATTGATGTGCTCTGGTATGCCTTGTTATCGTTTGTAAAGCCATGTGTTGCGATGTGGTGGCGCGTTGCACTTCGCGATTGTAGGTTAACGATCTAGTATGTTAGTACGGTGGCGCGCAAACGGTATGCTGACACGATCGCCGATCCATTGTCTTAGTGTAAGAGTGCAGTGTATCATGGCAGAATTGTCGAGCGTGGTGGAAGGATTGGTGTCGACATGTGTGAAACTATGAAGGGGAATATTGGAGAATGTAAATAGGCGTCGTCTGAGTAGATTTGAGGCGTGCAAGTCAGGATTGCAGTAGTTTGAGTGTATTGTGTGCAGTTCTATACTTAAGTGTGGCCCTTGGAACGTCCCGCCACCGCGCCTAACTTTTAGGTCTGAGGCGTGCTGTATGCGTAAGGGGGACGCATGCTACTCATGTGATGAGGTCAATGATGCAATACTTAGATTTGCATCCGTGAGTAGAATGTCAATGATACCGGAGAAACAAACAATCATATGCGTGCTGGGGTTATGGGGTTACAGGGCTATATGGGCTATATGGGCTATATGACTATAGGCGTATAGTGCTATAGGGCTATTGGGCGATTTGCGCTATAGGGCTCTAGTGCTATAGGGCTATAGGGCTATAGAGCTACATGACTATAGGGCTATAGGACTCTAGAGCTATAAGGCTCTAGGGCTATAGGGCCATAGAGCTATAGGTCTATAGGGCCATAGGGCTATAGGTCTATAGGGCTATAAGGCTATATGGGCTATATGGGCTATTGGGCGATTGGGCGATTGGGCTGTAGAGCTATAAGGCTATAGGGCTATATGGCGTGATCGTCTCTCTCGAGCGGCAAGGTGTACAAATTGCCAAATTCTAATGATTCGGAAGGTCGTTGATTTTTTTGGGGGCCAATATCCTCTCATTTCTAATTGTGCTATCCTGGGCCTCTTCCTGGCCACTAGGGGGCCAGGAACTATGAGGAACGAGAATACATATAAATGAGCACGATAAGAAATGAACGACGTGTACCGTTCCCATGCACGGTGCGCCAAATGAGCCGATAATTGCCGGATGTCCGCGGCTCCCAGGGAGGGCAAGCCTTTCCAGAGGAGCAAGTAGTCGTCCATGCACCGTGCCTCCAAGACCCAGACCAGCTTGCCCAGGACCTTGGTCTCGTATAGTGGTTGGACGACAAGTCGCAGTAGATAAAGGCCATGCGGGTGAGAGCCGATCCCATGGGGTTGCCCATGGCAAGCCCTTCCACTTCTTTGCCCACTGCCTCGCCCAGCATGAAGACTCCAGTGCTGAGGTGGTGGCGGATCAGCACGTCCAGGTCTGCGATGGTGATGGTGATGAGGTGGCCGTGCACCCTGGACGGAGGAACCCCTGTTGATGACACTGCCCGCCTTCCCCGCCACGCTACCCGAATAGTGACAATCGAACCATGGAGGATACACCGGTAGAACGTCTACGCGCGGATGACCAGCTCGTGCGGCATGCTGGTAAAGCAGCTGACCACGTCCGACCCGCATCCCCGCAATGGCGTCGCAGGTCTAGTGTCGCTGAACTCGCGGATGAGTTCGACAACGGTATCCCTCCTATGAATGTCGATGTGGGCGTGTTGAGGGAGGTACTGGGCCCCTATCCAATTCAGTGCCCGGGGCGCCGGCGTATCCCAGCACGGCGTGGGCCGGGCCGATCTATTAGCCATTGGACGACGATCGTCGGGCTTCGACCTGTTCTTGTTTGGGGCACTCGTTTGTGCCATATTCCTGCTCGACTGCCTGCTGATGGATCCGGGCAGCAAGGCAGCGGAGAGCCCCCCTAGGTAGGACGCGCGCTGCATGACGACCTCGGCCGTGAGGTTGGGGAAATACTGATAGTGCGGGTCATCCCCGTCGGCTCCGAACGGCTCTCGGCACGGGAGCTGCACCCTTCGCGAACATTCGGCTACCATGACGCGCCGGGTCTTCTGGAATACTTTAATAACCAACCCCCTCTAAGAGCGCTGCATAGCAGACACGTCCGCCGAACGTCCGCCCGCGCAACTCGGGCGAGTTGGGGGGCGATACCCGAGCAAGCGTCCTCCCCCCGTATGCCGCGGTCGCCCTGCCATGTGCTCGAGCGGCCCGTCGTTTCCATCCAACCCCAATGTCCTGGCCAGGTTTTTGGTGAGCTTGATGAGCTGCTTGACCACGAGACCACGATGGTGCGACCAGGGATGATTGCCGTGTGGGATGGAGCCGTACGAAGGCGAGCCTGGTTGCTCGGCCATGGTCATGTCTCCTGCGGGGCGAAGATGTGGGCGCGCCCGTCTGGCGACATAGCCCGGGGCAGCGTCGGGAAGGCGTCGCGCGCGCATTCCCACGGGGCTGTCTCGTGCAGCCTTGCGTAGAAGCACGGTGCGATGCAGAGGGCGCTCCGCGGCGTGAGGGCTGGACACGGCGCGACGCCGGCGCGGAGGTGCTGCAACGATGGCAGAAGCAGACCGCACCCACGGGAGCAGCAGTGCAAGACCAGGTCGGAAAGGAGCCCGCGTACGGCTTGATGGGCATTGCCGCACGGTAGCCATTGCAAGGAGATGTGGACCGATGGCCACGCCCGAAAACCGCGCACGCGATCCAAGAAAAGCAGCCCCATGCGGCGAGGTATTCCTTCGGCGACCATAGTAATCCGGCTCCAGATGGCATAGACTTCCGCTGGCGACACTTTGAAGATTTGTTTGCGGCATTGGCCAGACGCCAGGGACCCAAGTGTGTTGCAAGCGCCCGCAGCCCACCAATGAATGATGTCCGTACCGCGGTGTCTAGGGCCCTCCTGATGGAGCGACCTGGGGGCGTCCAGTGCCAAGAGCCTGCGCTGCGTCAGTCTGGCCGGGGCCGTGGGCGGACAGTAATTGCAGTACCGGCGGGCCGGCGTTGGCTGAGCCTCCCGTGGTCCAGCAGTCGTTGAACATAAGGCTCATTGAGTGGAGAGTGGATGGTGTCGATAAAGTGCCTCTCTGAAGCCACGAGGTCCGCGTCGGTCCTTGCACGGGCGATAGGCGCAAAGACCATCGTAGCCACCGCGTTGGCGAGGCCACCCCCGAAAAAGGACGACAACACGAGCATGTAGGGCTGCGATTGATAGTTTTAGGATAGGCAATTATACTACAGGAGGTCCTTTGAGAAAACCAGCCGAAATCTTCGGAAAATCTTTAGCAGGAGATTCAACCTCCCAAACATCTATAAGCCAAAACCTGCAGAAGTATCAACCACAGAGAAACTCAAACAATTATCTAAGTTCTAAGCCCAAACCTGCGAAAATCTCAAATTATAAAAAAGCTTCAACAAATCTTAAAGCCAAAACCTGCGAAAAAAAAACTCAAACTCAAAAAAACACGTGCGAAACATCACAATCCGAAACCTGCGAACATCTCAAAACTTGAGACGGAGTTTTCATTTTGAGTTGTTGTTTAGAGTTTGACATTTTTTTGTTTAGATCGCCAGGCGGTCAGACATGTTTTTCTCAGAATTGGTTTAAGTTGTTTCATGTTCTATTGTTTAATGAGTTTCTGAATGAAAATTTTAGGCGTTGCGAGTTTTTATGAAGTTGTTTCCATGGCACGCGGCGAGGCCGCGAGAGCCAGCCCCGCAGCAATCGAGAACGACGACGAAGCCGCAACGTGCAACGCGGTGGAGCTCGAGCGGGACATCCCTTGAGAAATGATGGTGGTGCCCTTCGCGGTTAATGTTGCGCCGCTGCTGATCGAGTCAAAGTATTGTTGCTTGCCCCCCGGCGGGCGGCAAGCCGCGTCTCCGCAACGAAGGAGGCGAGGCTCGAACTGGCGGCCGCCCACGTTGGCAACGGCAGAACAAACGAGACCCTATAGGGAAAGGAGGACCTGATCGCGCGCAATCTGCTGCGGAGCAAGAGCAGCCTGTTCCGGTGCGCCGACCGTCGCAACCTGGCGCAGCCGAGGTTCCAGGTGGTGCCCGACTTGAATCGAGGATGAGATGAGCCTCAGGACGCGAGTTGGGCTAGTTGCGAGGAGAACTCGTTCAAGCACATGGTGGATATGGACTGCGACGGCCTTGCCGCTCCTGTCGAGAGGCTTCCGAGAGCGGGCGAGCTGCCCGCCGAGGCCGCGCGGCGGGGCGGCGCGCGCGGAGATTTGCGAGCAGCGTGCGCTGTGCAGCCGTTTGGCTCGCAAAGGATTCAGGTCTCCTGGCGGGGCGGCCCCCCGCCCCCGCCCCCGGGCTCCTGCGAGCCCCCTGGGGTTCCTGTTGGTGCGTCTGGGGCCCCTCTCGCGTCGTTTGAGGGCCTTTCCGGTGAGGCTTTTGGGTTGTCTGTGGGCGATCTCGGAGACGTCTTGGGCAGTCCTGGGGGGCGGAAGCCCACAAAGGCCAGGTCGCGAAACCTTGTCATCGAAGACTTGAGGGTAACCAATGATGTTGGCTTCTTGGGGCTCTCTTGGCGTTTATTCTGGGCCTGTTGGGCTGCGCGGCAGGCGTCGCGGGCAGTCTCGTGGCCATCTGCGGCCGTCTCGGGGTCGCGGGCGCTTTTCAGGGAACCTCGGGGATCCTTCGGGTCGTCTTGGGCGGGGCCACCGTCCCAGAAACTCACGCGACAACCCCTTCAGTGCCTGTGGGCGCCCCTGAATTTCCAGAATTCCGTGGCCTTTCTTGTTTGTTCACAACCGCTCGAGCAACGCATGTCCCCGAGCTCCCAGAACTGCTGGAGCCTTGGGTGGCACCATTGTCAGTCAGTGCTGAGGGCAGGGTTGTGTGCATGTACCTTATATGCATGTGTATATGCATGAGCGGGGAGAGGAGGGGGAAAGAGAGAGAGGGACACATTAAGCGGGTACATATTTGCGAGCGGGACGCATTGACTGACGGAGCCAAAGATGTTACAAGATAAAGAGAGAGAGAGAGAGGGAGAGATAGAGAGAGAGAGAGAAACAAAGAGAGAGAGAGGGAGAGATAGAGAGAGAGAGAAACAAAGAGAGAGAGAGAGAGAGAAACAAATAACAAAAGAGAGAAACCAAGAGAGGACAAACAAGATCCAGAGAGAAACATCTAGCACTAAAACGAACTATAGCAAAATAGTCAGAAGGAGAGAGGGGGAAAGAGAGAGAGAAAGAGAGAGAGACATAGTGGGATGGAGGGACAAGAAATGAGAGGGAAAATTCGGGGGAAGGGAGGGGTGGTTGCAGCATGGGTGAAACGAGTAAAAGGAAGATAGAGGGAAACGAGAGAGAGAGAGAGAAAGAGAGAGAGAGAGAGAGATCTGGAGAAGCAGAGAGGGAGAGAGAAAATATATGCGTGGATGCAGATCGTGAGGCGGTGACAGATACGGAGACCGCAGACTTGAAGGCTCACCGTATGTAGCGTAGTTTCTGCGACTTTTCATGCGATCTTCCGCGCCCCTGGCAGGCGCAGTTGAGGAAAAATGACCAGCGAATTAAATGCTGCAGCTCACGCGGAGAGTGGCCGCTCTGGGTTGCGAGCGTCGATCATATTTCTCTCATTGCTTCTCTGCTTCGGAGAATATCTACGGAATCAGACACTATCGAAGTGCCGCGCGGATGTTTTGGGTCGGCGCTGAACCCTTCCGCCGCCGATGACGGCGCCTCCAGCGCCGCCCTTGACGCACTCCGAAAGGCATTATGGTGCCGACCCAAGACATCCGCTTGGACCTCGGTAAATTGATGCCTGTGCAGTTTCATCCGGCCCCTTTCGACGCCGTGCACGGGAGGGTGTGGAGAGGGGGAGGGCTTTTTAGACGCATCCCTGCTTCTGAAAAGGCGCGGGCCTTACCTATAGATGGAAATCCTGGCGCCTCCTAAGAAGCAGCCCCTTTGTAAGAAGCCTTCCCCCTTCCTCCACCCCCCTGTGCGCGCCGCCAACCCTTGCCTTTGTATCTCTGGCGCACTCTTGCATTGTTTGGGGCTCTCTGCCAGAGGCGCCGCGGCGCACCGCGGCTCGTAGCTCGAGGTCGAAGAGAGTTGCTCTGCCCAGTGAGGGCCCCAGGGGACCGCAATATGATTGAACGGTTTGATGGCAGCCGTAGGCGGCCTGCGAATGATTGTAGACATGGTGATTCGCATCGTATTGCCAAGGCGCTGAAATAAGAGCAGTTTGGGTCCGGACGGGACTCGATGTTCCTGAGAGCCTTCATGCCTGTTTCTCTAGCGTTCCTCGTCCACGCAGGCGCTTCTGGGGACAAGAAGGAGTTTCGTTCCTTCTTTGGCGTTCCTTATTTCAGCAGTCCGACTGTAGGTAGTGGTACGGTGATTGCGCCGAAAGTGGTTGTAGCAAGGATCGCCGGCATTATTGTATTACAGTTGTGCTGAAAAGGTGCTTGAATCAGACTGGAGGCGCTTTCATTGAAAGTAACTCTACCATGGATGGCTGTAGCGATGGTTGTCCCCCCTTTGTGTTCCTGTCAGTGCCCCGCTGATCCCTCACCCCTCCAAAGTAAGACGTTGCGCCGCCAGGGGATGTAAACAGTCACTCAAACTGCTGCGGATGAGAATGACCAGCATCTGTCACTTTGCGCACATAGTGAAAGGTAACAGCAGCATTGGCACCGGCGGCTACCCTCGATTGCTGAGCCAGTCTCATTGACTACTGTTCTGAATGAGTCTAGTTTTGTGATCGGGGGCCCTTTAGAACATCCCCGAATTCCCTGGAGCCCTTCAAACTATGTTGTGCTTTCGCTGCGAAACACTAGACCCCTGAAGCCTTCTTAATCCATCATCTTCATCATACTCATCTTCCTCCCCCCTGTCCGCGGTTCGGAAGACATAGCTGGTGTTCAGGAGGGGTCCACGAACTGATTTAATGTACCCTCCGCCTCTTTGACACCCGTTCTCGGCGGAGTATGGATATTCACCACCATGGTGGTGTATTCTTTTAGGTCGTTTTCGCTGGGCATCTGGCACACACACACACATCTGACAACGCAGCAGATCCCGCACTCCCCAGGTGGTGCTGGTAATGAGCCTCCTTTTGCCTTGTTTTTGCAAGGTGGACGGTCGATCTCTTGCCGTATATAACCGTTGCCGCCACCTCGCTATTGGTGTTGAAGCAGGATGGCGGGGAGTCGAGAGGGAATGCGAGGAATAGTAAAAGGATGAAAACAGAGGAGGCGGTATGGGCAAGGAGTAGAGGGAGAAGCAATGGGTTAGGAATAAGAAGGTGGGATTACAGGTAAGAAGAGGAGGATGAGGAGAAGGAGCAAGAAGAGGAGGAGGAGGACGAGGAGGAGGAAGAGGAGGAGGAGGGAGGAGGAGGAGGAGGAGGGAGGAGGAAGAGGAGGGTGGAGGGAGGTGGGATGGGGGAGGCAGCACGAGGTCGGAGTGAGGGACGGACGGACGGCGGGATTCTGGAAGGGGTGGTGATGACTAGGAGGACTAGGAGGAGCAGGAGGAGGATGAGGAGTTGGAGGGAAGAGGTAGAAGGGATAATCGAGGGAAAGCAGGGAGGGGGAGGTTGGAGTAGAGGAGTGGGACGGGAGGAGTGAAGAGGAGGATGAGGCGCGAGGGAGGGAGGGAGGGAGCTGCTGCTGAACGCTGGCTGCTAGGGCGGGTCGTGCTCACACGCAGTGCACGACCCCTGAGGGGCAACCCTTCGGTCGGGCCCGTACCATCTTCGCCGCTCGCCGTGCGAGATCCCTGAGGGGAAGACTGCGAGCGTGCGAGGAGGCGAACGGGCGGCCTGCGAGTGCAGCAAGTCCGCCCGGGCCTCCCTCGCCTGCTCCTGAGCAGCCCGAGCCGCCCGCCCCTGGGGCGGGCTCGGCAGAGAGCAGCGGCGGCGGCGGGGCCCCTCCCCGCGGCGCCACCCTCTCGCGGCGGCGGCTCCGTGCCTCGGCACCATGCTCGGCAGTCCTGGCCCTCCCTGGGAGGAGGTGAGGACGAGGGGAGCCGGAGGGGGCGGAGGCGGGGACGAGGAAGGAGGGGAAGAGACCAGGCGGCCAGGGGAGCCTCAGAGTTGGTGTGCAGCCTCTTGCTCGGCCTCCGCGCCCCACTCTGGGGCAGAGGCGTCGGGGGGGGACCTCGACGGCCTCCTCACCGCGGGTAGCACCCTCGGGTTCAGCTCGAGTCCTGACGCTCTGCTGAACATGGCGGCCACTGCCTGAGGCCGAGAAATCGGGAGCAGGACGAGCGGCCTCGTCAGCTGCTTGCCCGGCCTCATCCATGGCACGAGGAACGTAACATTCATGAGGCCGCATCGAATGCTTGGAAAGAGCGTGCTCTACCGCTGCTGGCGGGAAAACCGGGGGGGGGGGGTCACTGGGGGTTCCCAACCCCTCCCCCCCCCCTTCTCGAAAACCGGCGGGGGGTCACTACCGGTTCAGTGCTTGAGCATCCGTGGAATACTCCCACGCCTGAACTCGAGTGTCCTGAGAATTTGGGGTGGCAGATTCAGAGGGCAACAAAACACTGCCAGTGGCAGCGGATAAGCACTACTTGCTAGGGTGCGCCTCCTTCCACGCCGTGCTAAACTCACCGGGGGGAAGTTTCCCGCGCAGGGTCATGTGTGACCATTTTCCGTGGGAGCAGGACCCATGTCCAGGAGTAGCCTTCAGGAGGCCGCTTGGCGTTGGCATTCTGACCGACACAACGGTGGTTGGGGCTTTGCCTACACTGGCGGGGCAAGTCTCAGGCTGGTGTTCACATTGATCGAAAGTCGTGCGCCGTGTTCGCGGAGCTGACCATATAGCCTTCATGTGCTTCCAATCGACCGAACGGTGCACCTCTGGCCCCAGTAGGAGACGTTGGATGCTCGAGCCACCTGGAAATGTGTCTACACGCATGTGCTCATTCAACAAGTGAATAGAGGAGAGAAAGATATATCTATATAAACAAACAACAGAGAAGACGTCGTGCACGTCAGAGGTGCATGGGTCGGAACACTGGCGCCGACGCGACCCGAACGCCGTGAAACATTTCGAGCGTCCCATCGTCGCCAACTCTGTGGACAGGGCGTGTGTGAAATCTCGTGCATGTGCAGTTCCCTTGCCATGACGCCCCTACGGTGGACGACCCGGGAGAGCAACGGCAGCATGAGGCAGAGGAGGGATCGACGCCTGGGGACCAGGACGAGCCCGGAGCCAGCGGAGGGAGGAGAACGATCGACGGGGGACGACAGCCAGGAGGAGGAGAGGGAGGCGACAGACCAGGCGACAGCCCCGGGGACGAGCAGTAATGGGCAACAGGCAGAGGAGCGACGTAGGACGGCGGAGGAGGGGGCGACGACACTGCCTGGAGGCCAGGCGGGCGGTGGACCTGAGGCAGCATTCCGCCTTTTGATCATTCATCCCGAAACACATGATACAAAAGTCATTTCTCGAAACAAACGCCTGGCAACTACTTGCCGCGTGTCCGGCGGGCCTTGTATTTGTCCATGCAGCGCGTTGTTGCTTCCGGCCGCTCCGACGGCCAATTCGTGGACTTTTCGCTTCCACGTGTTTATTGGCCGTCCTCTCTTACTGGGGCCGTCTATCTCTGAATGAGCGAAGGAATGCGCCTTAAATGCGCACAGCCGAAAGGGGCCGGGAGAGCTGCGATCCGACCCAACAGGCACACGCGCCTACACGCAAGCGTGGCGCTGAGTTTACAGCACCCGCAAGTTTGCAAAATGGTCGCACTGCAGACGCGGCTATAATTGGAGTGGCCGATGGTGGCCATTCTGCGCAGGCGCCGCGCGTGACAGGCGTCAAGATTATTGCTGTTAGGCACGTTGAGCCATGGCGTATGAAGACAGTACATTGTTTCAGCGACGACGCAGGCTTCAAATATGGCAAACCTTTGTTCGGCAGAGGCAAACAAACGTGTTTCCAAAGTCTGCAGAGTGCGCAGAAATCGCTGTAAGCCATGCCTATCCTCCTGCTTGGTTCTGTACTGCTGGAGCCCGAAGATTCTAAAAAACCGCTGAGGTGCGCCGTGTTGTCTTTCACCAGGATCTGCGCGCCGTCGGGTCTGCGAACGTCCGCTTCGCAGCGTTCAGGCAGAGTTTCCAACGTGTCCCAGTTGAAAGCAAGACCACACTTAGCGCATTTCTCTTGGATTGCCTGCGCCATGGCGCCGACAAAGCCGGCGGCCGACTCGACCAAGAACGCGTCGTCCGCTTAGATGAGCTCGCCGACCGGGAAGCCGTCTGTCGCTTGGAAACCTTTGTTCCGGAAGTCTGATTGTGCGTCTAGCATCAGCGCAGTCATGACGATCGAGAATAGGAATGCGACAGCGGGCATCCCTAAGACATCCCGAACAGGCGAAATCGCCCCGGCGTCGCGGACCCGGAAGGAACGACCCGCGTAGATCGACCGCGCAATCTCGGCGCAAAAGTCGGGCATGCCCAGGCGCGAGAGCGCTTGCGCCAGGGCG